TAGCCATGTGTAGCAAAGTAATGTTTTTTTCCCACATTAACAGCCCGTTAAACACATTTAACTATAACTTTTTGAAAATTAAGAGTAAACTAATCTAAAAAATAGCAATAGACTTTAGAATTGACTTGCTCTTTAGACGCGAAAAAGATTCAATTTGTATTCCTGCCTATACACACAATGCCTGACATACATGGATTTAACTAAATGTCAGTGTTTCATCATCGCTGCTTTGCTCAAGTGCACTTTAGCAGCATCGGTCTGCATCCTAAATGCTGTGTGCGATCATTAATCACTTTCATTATATTCACTACAGCTCCAATATGAAGTAGTTGTTAGCCAGCCACTGTCAAAGTCAATCTGCTACTTTGTTACATAACTTTTGGATATTTCATCTAAAACGCATCCTGGTTTCTGGCCAAGTTTCAAAGTTTCAAAGTTTTAAAAGCAGCCTTGGGTCTTGAGTGCACAGTGCAGCTATAGTCCTGTGAGTGAAGATAATACCACTCAACATTACATTTCTAGTAATGTTAATAAATAACTACTAAAACAAAAATGTCTGTTTAATCTAATGTTTTGATGTGAAAATCAAACTTACTTTCAGCTTCAAAACTGCACTGTCCCTTGTATGACGTGTGTAAACAGAACGGGAATTCTAAACACAGAGAAATGTTGAATTTCTTTGAAAAAGAGGCAACCAATTAAAAGGTGCTGCTGAGACTATGTTTCTTTCCGTCTACCGAGCTGTCAGTCAGATGTGTGTGTGTGTGTGTGTGTGTGTGTGTGTGTGTGTGTGTGTGTGTGAGATATTGTGTGTATTACACACACACACACACACACACACACACACACACACCGTACATCTTCATCTATCTTGGCACTGTTCCTTCAAGTTAAACCGTGAAACACCACTGAGCATCCTGCTCTTTGCCCTCTCTCTTTCTCCTCTCCCCTGCCAGCATCATGTCCGCCCCGGGCGCAGCATGTGGCAGGCAGCTGGCATTATGCTGACCTTTTCTGCACCGTGCAGCTCAGCCAGTTTGAGTCAGACCTCTCAGTCTACCGTAAACCACCTGGGGCAGCAGCGCTCAGAGACGGCCTAAGAGCCAGGCACTGCACCCTGAAAAACAAAAGCTCTACATGGCACCAAAAAGCCTCAGATAACACCAGGGGAAATCCTTTTGGTTCAACTTCATGGTGCTTCAAGAATGTATGTTGCCAGCTTAGTCACCTTTAGATAGTTCTTTGCACACAAAGATCATCAGGGTCAGGGCAACTTGCATAAAGTACTGGATAAAACTATGCAAAAAATAAAATCACAAAAAAAAGGAGAACAACATTGTTGGGGTTGCTGCTGCTTTACTTCATGAAGCAGTGTTCTCAGTCTACATTATCTAAACTACTGAAAACAAGAATTACAATGTTAAAATATGAGAGAGTTAAATGCTTTTGACACAAATCATCTGATTTTACCTTTGCAGTTACTATAAGCTTTTTAATGAGTAAAACTTAGAACATTAAAGATCCCTTCCATGTATGGTTTTTCTACAAAAAGGTTGTTTTGAAAAGGTTCAAACACACGTTAATCTGAGATTTAAGATGATTCAGCGGATTAAAGTCAAAACAGCCGTTTAGTGTCAACAACATCCAAGTAAAGTAACAAAAAACAAAACACATGTTTGAGTATAGTAAGACTTTAAATGCCAATCAGGTCAGGCCTGTCAAGTTCAAATAACAAGAGACAAGTAACACTGTGCTATTCAATCATATTTAATGTCAGGCATCCCAAGTGATTGACGTATAAACAGCAGGTATCTGGTACCAAAGGTGATGACTGAGTTTAGCTTGTAAACAGAACTTCTGAAAACTGGGAAAACTGAGAATACTAAATCAGGACAGGCCAAGTTGAAATCCATGCAAGAAGGATGCCTCCTTATGAGATCAGCAAGAGCTCCTCAGTAAATATGACGAAGCTTAGTCAGCTGAAGTATGACTTAGAACTGATTTGGTAATTTGTAGAAGTCATGGGAGGATACACAGGTGTTACTGAAAAGACCAGGAGGCAGCTTAAAACTGGGGATGTTGACAGATAATCAAAAAAAAGCTTAAGAATGACTGGAAAGCATGTCAAAACTAAAGTCAAATCAAGTACATAAAACAAGATAATATTCTTACACAGGATATCATTTGCCCCCATCTCTACCACTGCTGACAAAAGACCCTGTGCCATTAATCTGTGGCTGAAGCCTCGTCTGTTTTAAGGACACCGTACTAAACATCCCGGTGAAGGTCAGCCTCTCTAAGCTGGCTAAAGCTCATGTCCCACGGGAACTAGAAGTTTTGATCCGATTTACGGTGATCCAAGTCCTCGAGGACCTCCTCTAAGCAGGGAGATTGGTGAGGAATGTGTTTTTCTAATTCAGAGGATCCTGCAGGTTCGGTACTAAAGTTCTACTGCGGACAGTTCCCCTTAATATGTTGTACTTCTGGTTGGTATTTAAGTAAGGATTTTTCAAATTTGGGCTTATGCAAATAATCTTATTTTAATCAATGTGAAAACAATTCTGCAGAAATGTATGTAAAAGTGTAGAACTCACAAAGATATCTGTTTTGCATTCAGTAAGTAGTATGTTGGCCAAAACAACGTAAGTTACCTTGTCGGAGCCAAACACAGAATCTCAGAAATATTTATCATCATCATTCATGTTTTTGTATTTTGATTCTACTGACGTTGACCAGTGTTTTGCTTTTAAACAAATTCAAATTTCCTAGTCTAACAAGTAAGTGGGATTTTAGGGATGTGGAGTTGACTGATATTAGAGGGAAGCTACAATAATTAAAATAACGTGTGGTTTCAGTGGGTTTTCCACAAGAAAGTTGACAGAAAAAACTAATAAATATTTCAGTTTCTGTGAAACTGAGCTGGTGATGATTTATGTTTTCTCTAAAACGTCAAAAACTGGACTATACACACTGGGAAAATCCTGGTGCTTAGATACATCTTAGACTAAAAAGCCTGAATAACTGAATGCGTTTCCACAGTATCACACTAAATGCGATCAGTCAGCCCAGATTTTGATTCCAGTAGAGATGATCTGAGCTTGCTCTGACTGTAAATAAAGATTTTGGATTTGTTCAGTTTCAAGTCCTGTAGGTTTTCTACTTTGGAAGTATGCAGTGACTTTATAGTAAAGCTTGATTAAAGTGTTTTAATCACATTCATATTTTTATCATATATAATGTTGACACTTTATCAACAATTACAATCTTCTACAATCTAGATTCAGTTTATCTACTTTGGTACAGGTTTCTTTGGCAATATACATGTCTGTTTCCAGTGCCAATAAAACCCCATTGAATTGAATTGTCACTACAATGTTGATCTGGGGGGGGTGTATACAGTGACATCAATCCAACTGTCCTGCTTTGTTTGTGTCCTAGCCAGGAGTTATTGTCCCAATAATGGACAATGGGAACATTGGGCTAATATTTTATGTGGATGAGAACAAGAAAGCAGGAATGCACACACTCCTCTGTTGTTGTTTGAGAGCTCTCCATGGTGACAGAAATAGGTATGCTGTGTGTGTGTGTGTGTGTGTGTGTGTCTTATTCTTCCCACTCTCGTGCTAAATATTGAAGCTGAGTTGGGGGTGGCTTTGACTCTCTCGCATGAGAAGTGAAGAATTTTTACCAGCAACCCACATTGATATGGCAACAAACACACATACACGCACACACACAGATGTACTTAGGAAACTTTCATCTTCATTACTGTCCAGTCATATCTTCTCACACTTCGTGGCTCCAGTTACTTTGTTGTTAAAATCTTGGCGTTTTAACACTGTTGCTTTTCGACAGGGAGAAAGAGAGAGGTAGGAATGAGAAATATGACTATTTCCATTTTATTGCAATGAGCACTAGGATTGGTGCAGAACTGACCTGTATGCAGTATGTTGTTACATACACACTTTATTAGGTACACCTATAAAATCTAATTCAATCCTGTACAGCAACACAGTCTCAATTTCTACCTATTTAATGGTAATACGGTTCAGAGTTATTAAATTAACCATATGTTTAATAAATGAGGTTCTGTTGTTTCTAATTTTTTGCTAATTACAAGCATGAGGGGGGAAGAATATCAGAAACACATTTCATTATAATGTGGTCCAGTTCAACACCACTGCAAACTACATCCTCAATAATAAAGATGCAGAGTTACTTATTTTATTGGTGGACCTCTGTAAGAAAAACTGGGTAGGGACACAGGAGTGAAGCGGAGAAAACCATTATGTGCATCTATAAAACAACATGATCCTTTCCTAAACCTAACCAAGTGGTTTTGGTGCCTAAAGCTATCCAAAAACACAATCTTTTCTTAGCAGTTTTGGTGCCTTCTGCAAAACGTCCGGTATTCATCATATACATTGTGTACTTAGGGTTCTATTGGACTGATGTTCTATAAATTACAAGCCCTGTCTCATCCTGGGGCGTCCAACACCGACGCTTTGAGAAAGCCTGACAAAGCGTCCGTATTTGATGCGTGAACCCTTTAGCGTCAGTATGAGACACCCTGGGCTTTCAAGTAACTCCAATGTAACCCATCCACTGTTGTCTTTAAACCTAACAAAGTGGTTTTGGTGCTTAACCTATCCAAAAACACAATCCTTTCCTAAACCTAACCAAGTGGTTTTGGTGCCTAAACCTATCCCAAAACAATAAATAAGCCTAAACATGTTTCATATGGACGCTGGAGCTTTGTGTGTCCAACACCGACGCTTTGTCAAGGCTTTCTCAAATGTCGGTATTGGACGCCCTGGGATGAGAACATGGTGTAATTACAACAACTCAATTACAACAATGCAGACATTAATACAATGAATGTAACTGTCTACAGGTTGAATTGTTTACCTGTCATTATGATGTTATAGGATTCCACTCTAGAATACCTTTATAATGATGAGTGTTCACATTCTCACTGAAGAAACCTGTTAAGACTCAGGTTTGCTTAAGTCATATTAAGAAAAATTCAAGATGAGTGACCAAGATGAGCCAAGCTCAGTGTACAATGATCTTCGTCTGAATGGAGAGTTTTGCGATGCAGTCATCCAAGTCGAGGATGTGGAATTTCAAATCCACAAGGTCATCCTCTGTAAATGCAGCCCATACTTCCGGTAAGCGGTTTAACTTATCTAAGGAAGAAAGCTGATGAACCTGTATCCGTTAACTGAGCAGAAAAATGTAATAATAGGAAAATAATTATCAGTTAATGATTGTAGTCTGACAAACACACCAATCACAATAAGTAATGCGTTACGTTGATTCATGGAGCATTTAGAGAGGGTATTTAAGGCCAGATAGACACTCAAAAGAATATACAAAATTCAAAAAAAGTTAACCAATATTGCATGTTTCCCGTCTGTCTGCACACAGTCAGTATTGTTTCAAATTTTAGTTCAGATGAAGGTTTATGCTTCCATTTGTGTACAACTAAAATGTGGACATGATGACATTTGGGGCTATTATACATTCGTAGCAGATTTACATTTAAGTTGGATTTATGATATAGTTGTGTTTATAATACATTTGTATTCAAAAGTGTTTTTGTATTTATTCATATGAAGTATTATTTTGCCTCTATGCTGGTCACTCAGTTCCATACTACATTACTTTTAAGCAAATATAATATAGTTTAAGTATGAAGTGTTTTCATTTCATTTCAGAAAATTGGCCAAATTAAATATGCTTGTAAAAATCCTTATGCACACTTGAAACAGTTGATGTTTGATGTACACTATTGTCCAACAATTCAGTACACAAAGAAAATGGAGAAGCTGTTCACAGCTGCAAAAACCTAAAATAATATTCTGTTGTGGATTGTGGATGGCGGTGAAGCAGTTCTAGAAACATCACAAAACAAAATTATTGATATTCTTACTGCAGTCCGGTGGCGCACATATTGTATCATTTTCCTATTAATACAAAAGTGGTGAAGTATGTTGATTTCTAGTATATTTACTGTAAAACACAGTGTACTATATTTTTTTATATATAGCATATACTGTAAACAATGAGTATGCAGTATGGACATTTTAAAATAGTTAAGATAAATTATATGTCATTTATATATAAAACAGTCAATGCTATACTTCACCTAATATAACTGAAAATCCTTTATTTTTATTCCAGATGTCAGAGTTTTAAGACCCTAAATGTAACCACACTATTATATTTGTTTGTGCATGAGCTAAAGCTACGTGTGCACTGGGACCCTTTATCTTAATATCATATTTCACTCTTGCTGCTGTTTTCTTCTCTCACATCTGTTTAGAAAAGTGCTACAAGACTTTCTTTCATTGTTATCTGTGTGAAGAAAATGTTGACTACAGTTTTTTTTTTTTTTTTAATCCTCATTTTCATCCTGACCCACAGAGCTCTCTTCAGACGCTGGTCAAACCCAGACGCAAAGGTCTTTAACCTACCCGGCCTGTCTCCTGACATGATGCAGCTCATCATTGAGTTTGCATACAGCGGCTCTGTATCTGTGACAGAGGACAATGTACAAGAGCTGCTGCTGGCAGCCGATCAGCTCAATGTAATTGACCTTGTACAAGCCTGCTGCGAATTTCTGGGGGAGCAGCTCTGCCCACAGAACTGCATCGGCATCTGGCAGTTCACCAACATCTGCTTCTCCTCCGAACTTCAGCGCAAGGCCTACCGCTATATCATTGATCACTTTGAGGAGGTTGTGTCCTGTGAAGAGTTCCTGCAGCTCTCTGTGCAGGAACTAAGTGACATCATTGATAGAGACGACCTCAGTGTGAGAAAGGAGAGTTCTGTGTACGAGGCCATCCTTAAGTGGATCGCCCACAAACCAGAAGAACGAAAAGGACACATCACAGTACTCTTGTCTAAGGTACAATATCTTTCTGTCACTACATTTAGTTTAGATTAACATCTTCAGTATTTAGCTGATGGTGTTATCCTGACTGCAACGATAATCACTACTGTAAGGCCACCATAGTCCAAATTATGTCAAAGCTGTCACACCTGTAGTTCTATTCATTTGTTCTTGACCAAGGACAAAACAATTATACATTGCTGCCTTTTAGTTCTGGTCCAGTTCGTGTTCAGCCTGATTTATTACAAGTGCTGTAAATGATGGCAATTTAGTACTTTAAGTAATTTAGTACCACATACATTGTCCTGGTACTGTAAATACTTGCTTGCTCACCAAATTTATGACTAAAACAGTCTCCAACAAATGCACTATTTGCTCGTATCTTAGTCATGTTTGTTAAAAACTACAGTGCCCTGCTGTACACTGCTGAATATTTTTTTGCCTTCTTCTTTAAATTAAAGTATATATTCATGGTCATATTATAAATATTCATATTTTCACTTGGAACAAATGGGTTTGGTGCCACAGTCAGGCTGGGAAAGTCAGAAATTACTAAGAAACAGATGGTTTCTTAGGTTTGTTAGTTTTGAACTTTTAAAGGATAAAAGTGGGATAAATGAATGAAACCAATATCAGTCTCAGTTGAAATAATTATAAAATGGTAACAGCTGGACTCCACAGTTGTCACGTACCACAGTGCGTGAAGTGAAATTCAAAGATTCAGTTATCTCTGTGTAGGTTCGGCTGGCCTTGACGAGTGCAGAGTACATCAGGATTCACGTGATGTCCAATGAGCTGCTGGAGAACAACAAAGTATGCCTGCCCATGTTCAGAGATGCCATGCAAACCATCTGTGACATGATTACAAACAGAACCTCTGTGTCTGGTGTCTATAACCCTCAAGCCCGCCCTCGCCTGCCTACTGCCATCCTGTTGGCCATTGGAGGCTGGAGTGGTGGCGATCCAACTAATGGCATTGAGGTGTATGATGTCCGCGCTGACCGCTGGTGCAACATGGTAAATAATCTGGAGCGTCCTCGTGCCTATCATGGCACTGCCTTTCTCAATGGCCAAATCTACTGTGTTGGTGGCTTTGACAGGGTGGAGCATTTTAATAGTGTGTGCAGGCTTGACCTGAGCACAAACACCTGGCATGAGGCGGCACCCATGTACTGCCGCCGCTGCTATGTAAGTGTCACTGTGCTGAACGGATACATCTATGCTATGGGTGGCTATGATGGGCACACACGACTCAACACTGCAGAGCGCTACAGGCCCGAGACCAACCAGTGGAGTCTCATATCACCCATGCACGAGCAGAGGAGCGATGCCAGCAGCACAACACTCCACAACAAGGTGGGTGAAGGGAAAGAGCGGCTGGGAATAATTTAGAGTAACAGAGAGTAGCATGATAGAGACTTTCAAACGGCCTGTTTGAAACTATTCTGAGAATCCTGTAAGGCTCCAAACCAAACTATTAAATAATAGTCGAGGTCCACGATTAGTGTTTGACCTTTTGCAGTTGTGTTGAAGTGGAAAAATTGGCCAGAGGGTAGTGTCAGACTGAAGGCCTTTAACAACCTATATCTTTAGAATTAATGACGTCCTGTGCATGAAAGTGTTAAGAGATATGTGTTGTTGTATTAAATACTGTAGTTTATTTATGGGAGGATGTTGTAAGCAGAATGGTCAACATTACACATATATACATACATACACACATTTTTTATATATATATATAGTACTCGCATTTCGCGCTGGTGGATCATAACCGGGTTGTAAGTACTGCTTCAAAATGCCAAAAGAAGAAACAGGAGCAAGAGACAAAAAATAGAGAGTAGGCAATTTATTGAAAACTGCATTTAAACTCAAACAGGCTGTTCATCAGCTGATCAAAAGTTTAAGACCATAGCCCAAAAATAAACCTACAACAGAACTAAAAGTGTCAAAAAAGGACTCAGTAGTGAGTAGCCCCACTGTTCTTGTCGATCACTTCAAACACTCGTTTACTGGATTTAGATCAGGAGAACACGCAGGATGGTCCAAAAGAGCAACGTTGTTCTCCTGGAAGAAGTCCTTCGTCAGGAGGGTGTTGTGAATTGCAGCGTTGTCCTGTTGAAAGACCCAGTCATTACCGCACAGACGGGGGCCCTCAGTCAAGAGGGATGCCCGCTGCAACATGTCCACATAGCCAGTCGCCATTTGACGCCCCTGGACAACCTGAAGCTCCATTTTCCCATTGAAGGAAAAAGCAACCCAAATCATGATGGAGCCTCCTCCACTGTGCCGCGTAGAAAACATCTCCGGTGAGATCTCCTTGTCATGTTGGAAGCCATCAGGACCGTCCAGGTTAAATTTTTTCTCGTCAGAGAATAAAACTTTCTTCCACCTTTCAATGTCCCATGATTGGTGCTCCCTTGCAAATTCCAAACGGGCAAGTTTGTGGCGTGGGAGGAGACGTGGCCTTTGAAGACGTTTTTTGTTCTTGAAGCCCTTCTCTCGCAGATGATGTATCTTCACGGACAACCCGTCGGATCCTGCGGCTCAGTGCAGGTGAAATTGTTTTGGGTCTACCACATGACTTTTTTGTCCCATAACTCTCAGGATCAGGTCTTACTGCGTCCAACCTTGGCAGCGATGGCGCGTTGCGAGAAGCCTTGCTTGTGCAGCTCAACAATCCTGCCACATTCAACGAGAGAAAGCCTTTTTGCCTTTGCCATCAGGGGATCATGACAGTGTGACTGCCTGAAGATCAATGACACGAAAGCCATATTTTTGTGCAGATTTTACCTTTTTATGCCTATGGTCTTAAACTTTTGATCAGCTGATGAGTTTAAATGCAGTTTTTAATAAATTGCCTACTCTCTATTTTTTGTCTCTTGCTCCTGTTTCTTCTTTTGGCATTTTGAAACAGTACTTACAACCCGGTTATGATCCACCAGCGCGAAATGCGAGTACTTGCAATGTTTCCCCCGGTCTTAAGATTTTGTTCAAGAGTGTATATATATGGCACCGGTTGGCTTCTCTCTGTTGGTAAAGTGAATACAAAGAGTATAAACCTAACTAGTTACTGTCATTTAATAAACAGACCAAACAACCAACAGATAAAAACGAACAGTTTAAATATAGCTCAAACCTCCCGAGAAAATGTCTGTACTGCAATCTCTTGTTCAGTCGTGACTTGTCAACTTATTGCCAATAAGGTAGCAGGTAACACTGCCAGACAATGACAGCCGTCCAATTTATTTTTTAGTTGGACTATTAGATCACTATATGTTGAGTCTCAGCTTTAATTCACTAATTATCTTACAATGGTGTAGAAATATTTCTGTATATTTTGCGTTAATACAGGAAACATGGACACTAGTTGAGACCAAAAAAAGTGCCAAGTTACTTAATGTCCCTCCTGTTCTCACCCAGGTTTATATTTGTGGTGGTTTCAATGGGAACGAGTGCCTGCAAACATGTGAATATTACAGCCCAGAGACCAACCAGTGGACAATGATCACCCCCATGGACAACAGGCGCAGTGGAATTGGCATCATCGCACATGCAGACCATGTCTACGCAGTAAGTACATGAAACACTACTGGCACTCATATACTGTAACACAGTGTGAAGCACTTGTGTTATTTATTAGATTTATATTCTGATCACAGTCATAGAAAACAAAATCGTACACATTTTATCTGTTAATTTACTTTGATACCAAAAAATATAGCTCGAAGAGTCTACCGCCATGCTAGCAGCTCAGTGAGGCTGTGCACAGCAGCACGTTTGGTTGTGTTAGCATTATAACATTTGCTTAAGTCAGTACAATTCATTTTGGGACATAAATGTCTGAAAAAAATGTCATGGTAATGGAGATTTTACTTAAGTTTTTACTCAGTTACCGGAGTTGTGGTGAAACAGCTGATCTGTTGTCACAAACTCTGTGGAAGACAAAAAACAACCCTGGACCCTCTAATATGTACACATTATACACATTTATTTATCCAACTGCCTTCTACTTCATATCTACTGAATAACTCAAGATCCATTGAGGGCAGGTGTTCTTTCTTGCAAAGGTGTTGAGAAACTGGTCTCTATTTTTTAGTTTAAACACTTGGCCCTTTATTTTACTTTTCCTCTCCACAGGTTGGTGGCTTTGATGGCAACAACCGCCTGCGCAGCGCTGAGGCCTACAATCCCGAGACCAACACCTGGCACGCAGTGTCCTCCATGTTGACCCCCCGCAGCAACTTTGGTATTGAAGTGATTGATGATCAGCTGTTTGTTGTTGGGGGCTTCAACGGCTTCACCACCTCCTATAACGTTGAGTTCTATGACGCAACAACTGATGAGTGGTCTGAAGCCTGTGACATGGAGATTTTCCGCAGTGCCCTGAGCTGCTGTGTGGTGTACGGGATCCCCAACATCGCTGAGTACACGTTCCCCCGTGACTCACTGTCGCTTTTGGAGTCTGTGGAGTCAGAAGACTAAAAGTAACTAAATAAATTTCTCGCTGCATCAAACTGCTGTTAATCCAGAGATTTCCTCCAACTGTTCAGTTTGTGTGGTAAGTTTTATGCTATGTGAGAAGACACAGGGTTTGATCCAGGGTTGCAACAATAACCCCTAGATAAGATAAAGGGCCATATCATGCACCCGGCGCAGAGCGGCGCCAAACGGGACTCAAGTGTCATTACTAGTTTCCAATAAATGCACTTGTCCTTTTCACGCCCAGCACCCATGTTGTAAGTAGCAAATGCAGCAAACTGATGGCTACTATCTGGTTAATGTGTATGCAAGTCTGTCCGTACACCCTGCCAAAAATAGTGTGAAATTCCGCTACGAACCCAGGGAATGTGATAAAGGCATTTAGAGAGACCCTCCGGTTTTCAAACCAGTGTTATACTGTTGAGGTGAGTGCTACAAATTTGAAAATCATGTCCTGAGGTTGTCTGTGTTATATTATTTTGGCCATGCCTTCTCTGTGTTTTGGTTCCTGTGTTTTGGTTCTTGATTCTGAGTTTTGGGTTTCTACTTTTTAGTTCTGTCATCTGTTGAGTTTAGTTCTGTGTTCTCGTTTAGGTTTTGTCTGTTATGATCCCTGTGTTATAGTTGGTCGGTGTTTGTCTGTTTACATGGGTTTCTGTTATTGTCAGGGGTTAGATTCTTGTCTGATATTTTGTAACATGTGTTCTGTCTGTTCCCCCAGTAATCTGCCTGCCTGCCAGTCTCTCTGTTTTTGCCCTGCTGTCTCTCTGCCTGCTCGCAGTGTCTTGTGTTTGGGCTCTCTCCTGCTTTGTGCACCCAGTGATCCTGACAGTACTTTGTCACTGTATTTTTCACCCATGTGATTTTATCATTTCTAAAAAAAAATAATAAGGAAAACAAATCTTTAGTTTAATCAAAAACAAAATCTGTGTTATGTCTAATATCAGTGGTCCCATAATTTCTTACTTTATTATGTTACAGTACTCCCCAAGTGTTAAGTTTACACAGTATTGTTTGCTGGACCCCATAGAAAAGCCCAAATTTGACCCCCTCCCAGACAATTCTGGCTCAAACACTGAGCCACACATAATATTGCATGAATGACACACAGACAAAAATCAGAGAGCAGGGAGAAAAAGATTCAGGGAAGGAAAAAGAGAATAGAGTGATATAGAAAGAAAGAGAGAGAAATACTGACAGAAAAATTACAGAGAGAGTCAGTCACAGGGAAAGTTCGTAGTGTTACATGACTTTCTGGCTGATGTCAAGGACTGGGTGTTCCACAATCTCCTCCAACTAAATTTGGACAAAACTGGGATTATTCAGGGGGAAGAAAAGCGTGAATGACTTCAGTCTGTCCTTCTCTGTTTTGCTGCATCGCATTCACACACTCTCTTAATCTCTCTCTTCCTCTCTTTCCCTCCTCTCGACTCTCTTTTTTGTGTCTTTGTCTTCATCTCACAGACAAAGCATTGGTTGCTCGTCACCTTGAGGCAAAGAGTTCTTAGGCATAGAAATTTCTCTATTTGTTTTTTATATCAGGGGAAGGGAATAACAAGTTTCCTCTTCATTTACTTAAAGGGGCAATAGCGGTGCAGTTCTAAGATTGCAACCAGGCGTGCTCGTATGCATGCTCGCTTGAACTCATGAGCGAGCATAATCTGAAACGCAACCACTTTCATACAGAAATACCGAAACACCAGCATGCAGGCTGTGGCTTTTCACTCAGACATGTTCAGGCTCTGTTACTTTGACGTTCCCGTCTCAGAGGCAGATCAACACCGGTGCTGTACCTTTCATTCAGCGCAGCGAGCCGCATATTGGCACAATACTCCCGGAAAAGGGCAGAGTGACAGCGGCTATAGACAGGCAGGGAGAACAGACAGAGCTGGAAACTCAGGTAAACTCCCACTGCAACGTCAACTGTAGGTTAAACTAATGAATGCTCGTTGGAAGATAACGTTACATTTACTGCATTTAGCTGACGTGCTACATCGTTAGCTTGCCTGCTGCTTTTCAGTAACCATGTTTACTATCTGTGAATCTGTCACCGGAAGCTCAGCAATGTGAGAACAGCTACATGGATTGGATGATCATGAAACGGTTAGTGAGCTGGAACTGAACTGTGTTTTTACTCAACATCATCTGAACCTTAAACCATAAACCTTTATTGTTGTTTTGTATCCATACATGGAGCCTGTGTTTTGCTGTGAGCCGGTTGCTTTATGGTGTTATTGGACTGCATGTCATTAGCTGCCGTGTTGTCACTGTAGTACAAGAGAGGCTCGGGCGCGCGCATAGGGCTGAATCCGACCCGGAGTCCCCACATTAAAAGCAGAATAGTGACTGATGCAAGCAATGGAGAAAACAGGCATGTGCTTTTTCTAAGTGAGTTTTGAGCCCACTGACAAGGCAATGAAAATTTGATTAATTTCATTGAAAAACTTACATAAAGTCCCTTTAATACATGATTTCTGGCCTTTATAGTTAAAATAGACCACTTCAAAGAAGTTAGTCACAGTAAAAAAATATTGAATGTTTTTCGGTTTTATTTTTATTCTGTTTTTTTATTTGTTAATGCTACATGACAATGAGATTGAAGTTTTGCTTTGGCACATCAAACTTTTTTTAAATGCCTCGCCCCATCCAGGCAGTGATTAGTCGGTTCACAAAAAGTGACACTGACAAGCGCACTGACTGTACATATTTCAACAAAAGGCACCCGATATAGCTAACCCCAAATCCCATCTAATCTCTATTGTTTTCTGTTTTATGGCTTCAGCTGCAAAACCTTCATAAACAGTTGAACTGGTATTGAGGATCTTGAGGAGGATGTGGGATGGTGCATAATCAACCGACAACTCTTCATTTTTTATAATGGGCTGCTCAAGCAATGCCTTCAATTCCAACTGGTCTATCTCTTTCTTGGCCTTATATAATTTGGAGGGACAGGTTTCTGTCCTTGCCACTGCTCTATAAAACTATCCAGATAGACAGTTTGTTCACTTTCTCATCAAGTATTTTCACATGATTTCCATCAAGGTATATAAGCACTTTGTGACTCTTCTTACTCCTGCCACAACCTCCAGTCTGCTCTTACAGAACCTCATACCGTTGACATCCTATTAGCTAAAGAAGTCAGAGAGGGATTTATATTTAAGGCCCATTCGACAATCCTCCTTTTCCAGTTTTCGACAAAGCCATGCCCATTTATTCCCATTGCTAGAAAGAAGCCTACTATTTGTCTGTGTGCCTTACCTTTGGCTGCAGAAACAGTCCTAAGACTCCAGAAGACTCCATCTTCTCGATTTTCTCATCGTCACTCCACCATCTTCACCTCCTTACTCTCACAAAAGCTTTCTCTGAACTTGGCGTCCCTCTTTCCAACGAGAAAACCTCAGGGCCTAGGCATCTCCTACAAGTTCTTAGGCATCACCCTAGACCAGAGGTCTTAGACTCCTGGGCCGCTGGCCAGACAAGGCCCCTGAATCATTTCATATGGCCCGTCATTTGATATCAAGTTATAGTGAAATCTGGCCCTGCAACCTCACTCTTGCTTTGGGTAAATCACAGACTGATTGACAATTGACAAGCTAGCGCCGTCTTCTGTTGAGAGGTCAACATGTTGTTGTTGAAAGCCAAGAGAAAAGTTGATGGTGATCACAGAGTTTTTCAGGAGAAGTGGGTGATGGATTATTTTTTTGTTGATTTCAGGGGCAATGCCACCTGCAAAGAGAAGACTGCTGTGATGAAGGAATATAACGTGAAGCGGAAATTATTCAACTAAGCATGCACAGGAGTACGGTAAATACCAGGAAGAGGAGAGGAGGAAACGTGCTGCACAGCTAAAGAAAGGGTTATCCATGCAACAACCTTTTTCAAGAATGTAAGCAAGGAAGCCACAACAGCCACAACAGCCGTCAAAGCTAGCTTCGTGGTTATTGAGACGATTACCAAAGCGGGAAAGCAGTTTACTGAAGGCCAGTTTATAAAAGACTGCATGCTAGAAGTTGCAAGTAAAATCTGTTCAGAAAATAAGGGTAACTTCAGCAACATCAGCCTTTCAGCCAGCACAGTGGCAGAGCAGATTACTGAACTATCAAATGATATTTATGTTGTGCAGCTGTGTGAAAAAGGCAAAGTTTTCAGTGCATATTCTGTGGCTTTGGACGAGAGCACTGACATAAACGATAATGCTCAGCTCTACATTTTTGTCCGAAGAGCAGTTTGAAGTGACGGAGGAATTACTTGCAAGGCCAATGCAAGGCTGTACCACGGCTAAGGATGTATTTGAGCAACTGTGCAACGCAATTGAGCATGCTGATCTGTCATGGAAGTCGCTGAGGAATAACAACAGATGGCGCACCATCAAAGAGTGGGAGGAAAAACGGCAAAAAAAATTTAGGAGGAAGGTGGAGATAGGGCAGTTGCTTTGCACTGCATTATCCATCTGCAGGCACTGTGCAGCAAATGCCTGAAGTTTCAGAATGTGATGTCTGTCATTGTCAAATACATAGATTACATCAGATCCAGGGGATTACAGCACAGCCAGTTCCATGCTTTTTTGGAGGAAATCAATGCAGCGTATGGAGATGTTCTGTACTTCACAGAGGTTCGTCAGCTCAGCTGGGGGAATGTCCTGAAAAGGTTTTTTGAGCTGAGAAGAGAATTGAAGACCTTCATGGAGCAGGGCAGAATGAATCTTCCTGAGCTTCATGATTCCAGCTGGCTGATGGACCTAGCCTTCCTTGATGACATCACACAGGAGCTAAACACACTCAATCTAAAGTTGCAGGACCCAGGCCAGCTTGTTACTGCAGCTTTTGAAAGAAACTACACCATTTTCCAGCATGCAGGTGTGTTGTGGAGGAGGACATACCATTCAGTAGTGAGAAATGTGTTGATGCCGTTGAGAAGCTACAGCAGGAATTTGAACAGCAGTTTGTAGACTTCAAATCACACAGCGCCATTCCAAATCTTTGCAGATCCCTTCTCCTTTGATGTGCAATATGCCCCCAGTGTGCTACAAATGGAACTCATTGACCTACAGTGCAACTCTGAGCTCAAAGCCAAGAGCGAACTCAGAGAGGCAAATGGAAAAAACGGTAAAGCTTGGAACTTTCTTAAGAGATTTACTTCCATCCTTCCCAGAGCTTTCTGAGATGTTCAAGTGGACAATATGCCTTTTTGGAAGCACATCTCTCTGTGAGAAACTGTTCTCCACCATGAAATTCAGTAAATCAAAGTACAGGTCCAGGCTCAGGGATGTCCCTCTTCAAGCCATACTGAGGGTTTCATCTGCCACCTCCCTCAGCGCAAATGTGGCTCAGCTGTCTGACAAGAATGAGGCAAGAATGACTGTACATACTTAATGTTAAGATATTCCGCACAGTTGGAGTTTTTCCCCCCCAAACAGTTGGTCTTTTTTAATGCTGCATTTTACTGGCCTCCCACTGACCAGACTGGACACTCATCAGCCCACAGGTAATTTAAGTTTGTGACCCCTGCCCTAGAAACATTGTCCTTTAAGTCATATCTGCCCCCACTCTGCTTCTGTTGACCATCTTCCAGCAGACAGTCTGTCTGTCTAGTCTGTCCAACCTTTTAATTAAAGCTGCATCCATTCTTGGTTGGATTATTGTAATTCACTGTATTCAGGGCTAAGCAAAAAAAGTATCTCACATCTTCAGCTAGTACAAAACACAGCCGATCGACTTAACTAATACAAGAAAACAGGATCACATCAGTCCTGTTTTAGCCTCCCTACACTGGTTACCTGTTAGTTTTAGAATAGATTTTAAGATTTTATTGATCTCTTTTAGAGCACTTCCTGGTTATGCTCCCCTATGAGCCGGAGCGCAGCCTCAGATCCTCGGGCAGGACACTGTTAGCTGTACTGAAGTCCCGGCTAAAGACTAATGGTGATCAGGCTTTTGCAATTGGAGCCCCCAGCTCTGGAACGCTCTTGCCTGAGAACCTGAGGCTCGCAGGATCAGTAACATCTTTTTAATCACTTTTTAAAACATACTTTTACAAAACAGCCTTTTATTAATTTTTGTACTTCCTTTCATTTCTATCGTGACCTTTATGTCCATTTTGTCTGTATCACTGTTGCAGAAATTGTATTTCCTTTAACCTTTGTAAAGGCTTTAGCCTGTAATTTTATGCTGCTTGATTCAATTTGCCTAATGTAAAACACTTTGCAATTCTGTTTTGATATGTGCTGTATAAATAAAGTTTATTATTATTCTTTGGGGACATCAATTGTCTAGGAAGTCCATACTAATCCACTCTGATAACACCACAGCCGTAGAGAACCTGAACAAAGGCTGATCTCATTCTCCAGCCATCACACAGTCCCTTCGCAGACTCACATTAATCTCTGCTCAATACCAGGTCATCCTCAGGGCAGTTCACTTTACAGGCGACCACAACACCATCGCTGATTCATTGTCTCGTTTCTCATTTCAGAAATTAAGACACTTGACCCCACTAGCTCCAACTGGCTTTAGTTTCGAGGGATATCACACCACATACTAGCTGTTTTTTCCCCTCTCTGGACATCATGTCTACCTGCAATTTTATCACCCATACACATTCCATCAAAAAAATACAGTCCTTTACCATCCAGACCTATTTAGCAGGAATAAGCTTTTCATCAAACTATTCATTGGCCTCCATTGTCATTCTACCTCTCATTACTATGTTAATCAAAGGCTTGTGAAAAAAGGAACCTGCTCTTACAGCTCGACGTTTGCCACTCACTTCAGACCTTCTCAGCCCCTGCATCCATTCTCTATGTTCAGGCTACATATCCCCTATGGTCAACTTAACCCAAGAATCTATGTTCTTGCTGGCCTTTTTCAGCTTCCTGTGGTGCTCAGAATTTGCCCTGACTTCACCTGCCTATAATCCTTCTCATCATCCCAGTCCATCTGAAATCACCATACACACTTCCGACTCATATTCATACTCCAAAGGACTAAAACAGATCACCTAGGAGTTTCTTTCCCCATCTACATTTTTCTATCTCAGTCCATATGACGCTGACCAAATACGTCTTGCTTTAGGTATGTAGAAAAGGTCTTACAGCAACACCCGCTTTTTCTCACAGAAACAGGAAAATTAAAGCCTTTGTACAGAAGTACTTAAAGTTCTCTGCATTTCAGGCACTTCCCCAGAACACTATTTAAGCCATTAGCTTTGCATTAGTGCAGCGTCTACTGCAGCTAGACTGGGCATCTCAGATCAAACCATCCAGGTCCTCAGCTGCCGGTCATCTTAGGCATATCGTTCATACATCTGCAACAATCTTAACAATCGCGATAAAGCCCACACTCAGCATTCAGCTCAATATAATCAGCGCAGGTCAAAACACGTCTGAAATGGTTCCCCCACACTGAGTCTCCCCTCGCCCAGTCTTCTGTACAGTAAATCCTCCCAGACTACCCCCCCCCCTTACTATCCATTCATCTGTCCTCAAACATTAATACCTTCTGACTTCCCAACAAACCTTTAAATGACATTTTGTTGTGGCATGGTCCATTAAAGGCAAAGCAAGGGACAGCAGTGCAGGCGTTGCCCTTAATGTTGTCATGACTCAGCAGTATCCGCCCTGACAAGTGTCACAGACAAAGCAGATGGACATCCGAGACACAGACTTTAAAATGTCTGGTTGAATGCTTGAATGCCTTTCTCAAGGAATAGAGGAAAAAAATTTGAAATGTGGAATTTAACGCATATCAGAATCAGATCTACCACTCCACAGTTCACATTTATGTAAACATAATGTTACTCTGCCAGACGGCATTAATCTTGGAGGATTCTGCAAAACCTTGGGTTACAATCAGTTTTAATTTTTTTTGTCAATGTCTACAATATAAAGGTTAGATATCTTATCACAGTTAATTTTAAGGATAACATTAATTGCAAGTCTGTAATGGGATGCAAACTCCAGTCTCCTGCATGAAAGTTTTACATGTTACATGTCTATGAACCTCCCGGATCTCCACCTTATTGTCTGTCTCGCTATATCAACTGTAGGGCACAGCACTTTCTGTGTTGGTTCTGAACATCTGCAACAGATGAGGAATAGTTTAAAATGGGCTGAGCTGGAATAAACGTTTTGCGGACAAGGATGTCAGTATTAGATGATTCTATAAAACCCTGGATTATGTACAATAACAATGTAATCTGCAAATCGGTGCATAGCAGCGACAATATGGCTGAGGTAAGGAAAGATAGTTAAAAGGACACATCAATTGAAATTCGGTGAGGGGACACAAATACTATTATTAGGTCATAGTATAGTATTAGGTCAGAAGTCTTTACTACAAACACCCACTTCTGTTGGAAGTAAACCACCTGATTAGTCTACAGCCTTTTTTTAGAAAGTAAACTGGTGTTGTGTGTGTGTGTGTGTGTGTACAAATGTTGTTTATTTCACTTTTGCCAATTCTTAACAAGTGACTGTGTAAATGACTTCATGCAGAGCCCATCTATCACAACACATTCTACAGAATACAATAGATATATATGGCCTAGGAATTATGGGTAGGGAAGCAGAGAGCAGTCTACTCACCCAGTCCTAAGCAAGATACCCTGAGACCTGATTTTCCAAGGTTCCTGCAAGAACATAAAAAAAAAGAAATCAAATCTTTTGTGCACACACTTAGCACAGTTACACACACATTGAAATCAAAACACTAAATCAAAATCAATAGGCATGTTGCCTATAGTGGAATTGCCCTTTTACCCTGTTCAGATGAAGATCCATGCGGGAATATATCAGCTGTTATTGTGTCCATTACATTTACCCATTTAAGGTGATATATGGCCTAAGTATTAGCTCTAGTTGCCTCTTTACACATCAAGCAGACATGGAGAACACCAACATTCATTTGTAGTCAAGTTTTTGGCAACCTGGCAAATACAAGTCCAATGTTCACTCTCCCTTTAGCTCTGTTTTGGTCTCCACCAACGGCAGAAGAAAAAATCTGTTTCTTTAGCTGCTAAATGCTCTATTATGCTCACCAGATAGTTGCTAAAGTTGTCTGTCTGTTTTAAATGCTGGGCAGGTTGTGTACAGTGGGTTTATAGGGCTTTCTCACTACACACAGCAACATGTAAATGATGCTGAGGACAGTGGTGAGAGTGAACCAAAACAGTAAAGTTATGCACTGTAAAACCAAAACAACTGAAAGATGCATGACGTGACAGTAGGAAAGGCATAGTTTCACTCTCAGATTACAGTTATACAGCAGAGTTTGTTCCCGTCTGTTCCAGTGCTGTAAGCAGATCGGCAGATCTCTGCCATGTCCAATCACGCTTGAGGAACAGTTATTGTCCTGTCATGTCAGCTTCCTGTGAGAGCAACCATGGACTGATGACTAAAACCGATGCTCCAGGACACACACACACACACACACACACACACACACACACACACACACACACACACAGGTTCCCGAGTTTCCGAGCAGGTGCAAAGCTAAAACCCGACTCCAATTCATCAGCTTGTGGGCAGTACAGGTGGCATACTTTTCCTGGGAGAGGAGTTTAGAATATGTTATGTTGGCACTTTTCGACTTGCTCAGGAACCCTATTCCGAAAGGATTAATTTTTATTTTGAAACTTGCTATTTATATCTCCCTTTAAGAAGTGAAGAGAATAAAGAAACATCTGCGTGTCACACTGTGTATACCTTGAATAAAAGCAGATGATTACAGATGTACTCATGTCACAGTTAACTTTTATACAACTCATGAAACAGGTCAAACACATAATGCAGAACATTTTATTTTTATTTTGGATTTGTGTATCTGGTCTCGTAGGGTACAGCACATGTGGTTACCAAAAAGCTCCAGATTAATTCCTGGAAAAAACAACATTGTTTTTTTCATCACTTCAAGGTTCTTGCTGAAGCAAACATTAGAAAAACTTTAAACTCTGAAAGCCCCAGGTCCCTCATTGCAAGTCCCTGAAGATACTTCTTCTCCCAACATAAAACAATGGAAATTCATGGATTCATTCAGCTTTAAAACCTATGCTAACTAATTTTGGGTTCTGTAGTCACATTTGAAGTCTCTGTGAGTTTGTATTAAAAACACATGCATGGCCTCATTAAAAGCATCAGATTTACAGGCTCAGCCTTGTGTATTGATTGAAGAGTACATTATTCACAGCTGTCAGCAATCTTTCATTGTTGCTCACCTGTCAAAACCACTTTAGTTTTCCATTGCCGACATGTCACCTACATATCCTTCAATATCAGAATAGTTAATTGGGCATAAAAACTAAGGCATCCTCAGAAAATTGATTTTGGATGATGTATTTGATCCTCTGCAACCTGTAAAACATCCACAAAGGACACTGAACATGTTAAACAAATTGATCTTGAAATAACAGTTACAAGTTACTTTTGCGCCGCAGAAAAAACAACAACAAAGCTGATTATGTATGAATATTCGGTAACACTTTCTATGAAGGTCATCGCTATAATGACTTATGCATATATTTACAACACGATATAATGCATCCATAAGACATTATAACAGTTGTTATAATCACTTACAAACATGCATTAGGCGCTATAGCAAAGTTCATAACGTATTATGACCTTTTGGTTTAATGTTTTATAACTAATAGTAATACCAGTTTATGTCAATGTGCGGCAAGAATCTCCGACCATGTTCCAAAACACATTACAACCACCGACTCTGCCTCGTTATGAATACACTTTAGTCACCATTTACAATTAGTGATATAAAATGGAATAATAGCTTATAGTAATGTTTAAAGTTATATAGCATGTCTTTGTTTGCTTTAAGTAAAGTGTTAAAATATCTATCCCTGTATAATATATTACAGGTGGACATAATACCATATGAACTAATTATAAGACCTTATAACACGTAATTGTTTGCTTTAAGTAAAGTGACACACATTTTTGCAGGAAAACAACTTTTATTTATGTTTCTTCACTTTATGAACAATCTGTATGAATTCTGAACATTTTGCAGTTTAGCACAAAAACACAACACACAGACCCTAACAGATGCAGTGGACAATTAAAGACAACCACTTCACCATTTATTATTGAACAGTTTATTGTTTTTTTAGTTTATTATTATTGAATAGTTTGTGTTAATATACTTTGGCAAAGTTGTATTATATGCAGTCATGTATGCAACTCTACATGGCTCTGGAGCAAACGTAGGGACAGAGTGGGCTGAAGCAACTAGGAATATCAAAGTAATTTATTTATCATTACAAAGCACAAGGTTTGTAGTTCCTACACAGATATACCATAACAGACAATTACATTTATATTAAAATAGTGTAACATCAATAAATAAAATAAAACAGTAGGCCTATACAATACAATATTATTATATATATATATACATACATACATACACTCTTGTTATTCTTATAAACCCAGTAAATAATTGTGCAGTGCATTTTTTGACAATGTAAACAGCAGAAGAAGATAGTGATGATAATATAGTTTTTATCTTCACATAAAAAGTTCTTCATTTGGGAAACATTGTCCATCCACTATAACTGTGTTTGAGCACCAAGTATCATCGATGTAAACACAGAGTCCAAACTCCTCTCATCTTGCTGGAGTCTCGCGCTCTGTCGGCTTGGAACATGGCCCGCCCGCCGAGTGCTTGATGTTGATGGCGCAGTTCTCTGTAAAGATGTGGGCACAACAGCCTCTGATTTCCCGTTGCTTAGCCAGCCTACTCCAATTTCGTCCAGACCGGACATTAGCCAGGAGCAGCCTTAAATCCAAGCTGGCACAATCGCTGATCGGCATCCTTTTTCAATGACTGTATTTCGCTCATAGGTAATACGTGTTTCAGCAATAAAGCTGGAAAAAACTCACAGATGAAAAACAGAAATATAGCAGAGTCTGCATGCACAGCCATTACCATAGTGAAAATCTCCTGATCCAGTTGATTTGAACAATTTTGGCTTAGCCTTTTAAATCAAATGAAATCAAACATCATTTAAGTAGTAGTGCTGCACAGTTAATTGAAATATTATCAAATTGTGCCAAACTGACAAATGACAGAAGTTGCAAAGGTAAAATGTGTGACAAAACAGCCTTATAATGAAGTACTATAGTATTAAGTAAGTTTGTTTGGTACAGACCACAACAAATGTTGTGATGTAAAAATTATCATTCCCACAAATCATATTGTGAATCATAATCATAATAATCACAATGTGATTTTTTTTTTTACCATTTTGTGCAGCTGTATTCAGCAGTAAAAAACGTATAAACATGGGTGTCGCTTTTCCTCGCTGGAGAGAGAAGAGCTCACTTATAGGCACACATCAGCACAATTGTGACAGTGTTTGTGTAATACTCTCACTGCTGGATGGGGAGCCAAAAGTTCCGCAGTGCAGGTTTTAGCATTTTTCTGCATAAATGCTTGACCTATTGATTTAATGGTTCTGACTGATTTCTGCAGTGGTTGTTTCTGTGTGCAATTTGTCCTGTATGTAAGAGGAACACAGTTATCTGTTAGCAAGGGTGAATGTGAGTGTGACTAAAACTGTGTAAGCTGTATCTAGCTGTCTAGCTGAAATCTAGCTGTCTTTCACCAAATATTTGCAGTACCAGGCTCCAGACCAGACCTCCCAGTGACCCTGAACAGGCTTGAGCACGTTAAAAAAAGTATGAATAAAAGGTTATGCGAGGTTGCTTTTCTTGATGAAGACATTTTTAAAAGTTACAAGTTAAGTCATGCCTGTGGTCAGGGCTGTTGAAGTTAGATCTTGGAGACTCAAAGCGCTGAGTCAGGTAGTGGATGCCCCGCCAACGATTAATGATGATGTTGCTGTTCCCCAGCCACAACCATGAGTGATGACAATACAGGCGACCTCTATTTCAGGTCCAAAAAGAAAAGCTTGGCATGAGCCAGGGCAGAGCACACACAGATTTACCTAACAAAGCAAAAACTTTAACAATCCATTTCGACAGAGCTACTTTTGTTACAAAAGGAGTGATGATGTTTGTGATGGAACAGTTTTCATGGCCCAAGTTGCGGCACATGGCCTTAATGCTACAGTATATAGACTAAATTCTGTGAGTCTGGCCTAACAAACTGTCCTCCACATTAATGAACCAAACAATAAGAATGTCAGGACTGATTCCTCCTAGAAAACTTCAAAGGGCAGATTCACAGAATTGATTTAACTTGTCAGTGCAGTTACAAATGTACATGAATCCACTGCTTATTGTGCTCTAAAAATAGGGGGAAGAGTCTAATTATCGCTGGGTATGTTTCCTTTTGCTCGTTTGACTTTTTTCCCCCCATGTTGACTGAAGTAATGAAAGGAAGAAATGACATTTCTCAGATCAGCTTGGTTGGCCATGATACTGCTGAGCCTATACAATACATCCCCTCATTCAGCTTTCACCTAGATAGATTGCAAGATGGATGAAAGAATGGCAGTGAAGGGGATAATAGATGAGATAGAGAGAATGATGCAGATAAGATTTCCCCACTTGGGAGACTGAGTGAGAAAGTGATTGTCTCCCTCATTTAAAACTACTTTCAAATGGCTATTCACAGATATGCAAACGCTTATTGCCACAAATAACCAAA